ACAGATCGCCACTGGGCTTTCAACTAAAGACACAGCCACTGCAATTTTTTTGAAGTCCCGGAGTGGCGTTCTGGTGCTCTCCGTCAGAACTGCACCCCTGTCAGACGAGACATATACCACGTGATGACACGTTAGGCTCGTGTTGTGTTCAAGGATCATGACCGTTGCCAGGAATAACAGGCACTCGCTTGTTTAATTATTTTGCGGTCTAGATTTCTTTAATTTTTTTCTTTTTTGCGTGTGTATATAAATTACCTCGAGGGCCATACCAAATGTTCTCGCGGGCCCTATACGGCCCGGGGGCCGGAGGTTCCCCACCCCTGAACTAGAGACACCCCTCTGCCTTTACAGCCATGGTCCGGTCTGACAGTGCTCAGCTCTCTGCTGCAGAGAGGAAGAGAAGATCACTGCTCTAAACAAAGTCAAAAATCGTACATCCAAACGGAATAAATATAATTAATTATTATTAATACGTTAAGTCTTGTTCATTGTTTTTCACTTTTATTAAATGTTTGATATTCCCGGCACAGACCCTTTCATACCGGCAATGCGCGATCGAAACAACAGGACCTGCGACAGCATAAATATGTGAACACAAACCTACAGTTAAACTTTAGTGCTGGAGAAGAGAGATCGCAGGGGGGTGGGAGATCACAGAGGGGGAGAGCTGTGGCTGAGTGGCCATTAGGTGTGTAAACAAAGACAGTCACACGCAGCCCCAGCTGATCAGCTGATCACCTGAGAGCTGCAGAGTTTCATTCAGACAATTAAAAAAAAAACGGTCTAATTTTATCATTGCACAACAATGAACTCAATGTGTGATTGTTATAGCAGTAATAATACAGTAAACTATTAACAATAGTATAATATTATAGTAAATATTCTTGTCAATGCAGAATATGATTATATCCGTGACAGTGGGAATAAAAAACAATATGCTACAGTATAGTAATAACATATAAATCCCACTTGTTGTAGCCTACCTGGCAGAGCAAGAAACACTCCAGCCTTTTATTTCAACTTGTTTAAAACACATCTAAATAAATATGTGTGTCCCGGGCCATAAATGTAAGTATACTGTCAGTTTTCAGATAAAGCCACGGCATCACAATTCTTCTGTATTCTACAATATAGTTATTTTCACCTCCTGTAATGCTTTTTCAACCCACCAGCTTTTATGGAGAAAATAAGTTATTTAATTATTAACCAGAGGCATGTTTCTCACTATTTTGTGCATAGAAACAACAGACTACTGTGTGTGTGAGGAATCAGCTGTTTATTTCATATGAGTTCACCTGAGAGCTGCCGTTTTCATTCAGACTATTTAAAAAACAACGGTCTTATTTTAACATTGCACAACAATGAACTCAATGTGTGATTGTTATAGCAGTAATAATAAACACTAATAATACAGTAAACTATTAACACTCTACATATTATTGTTTGCCCGTCGGGATATGACGAGGCTCCATTAAAAATAAACCTATTTTTAGTGAATTACTGAGTTTAGGCACGTTAATAAAGTTTTAATGAAGTTGACTACGGCAAATTCATATTTGTTGGTGCTTTCATGTCATTTCGGCGAACATATGATACATTAAATGATCGTGAGGATGATGATTAAAAATCGTTTGTTTGAGCCAGCTTGGATTTCCTGATGAAAAAACAAACCGATGGTTTTGTAGTTGTAGTACACCAACGTGGATTAAACAACATTATTTTGTTAAATAAAAACATGGTGATGTTTTGTAAATGATTACATGTCTCTTATTTAGCACAGAATATGATCCTATCCGTGACATATGGATCTTAACAAAGATCCGCTATACCTGTAGATCTGTCAGCTGTTTATTTCACATGAGTTCCAGTGTGGCAGCTTTTTACTCACTGCTCCCCCTGGTGGATCCATGATCCATTGCAGCTGGTTTCATTATAATTTAATTTATTTATCAAGGGGGCGTATCAAGTCATGCGGGGGGTTTTCCTTTCAGCGAGAGCCCACCCTGTGCCGATCATGGGCCCACATGGGTAGGGGCGTCCGAAATGAGGTGCTACATCTGTATCCGGAGTTGGGTCCCGGAGGAGGCAGTTCCAGCAGAGGGCCCCAAACTAGCCTTTCCCTGGCCACATCAACCAGCTCTGACTGGAAGATTCCAAGGCGCTCCCAGGCCAGCAGGGAGGTATAATCCCTCCACCTGGTCCTGGGTCTGTGTAACCCTTCTATAGGGAGGCGCCCATGTGGCATCCTGACCAATGCAGTGATTTGGAACTGCCCAACAATCTATTTAACTAATGGATTCTTCCTTGACCTTTTATGAAGTTTCATTATAAAATGTGTTTCCATTTTCCTATTGGCCAAAAACAACCTTCTGGAAGAGTGGTTCCCAACCTGGGGGGTGCGACCCCCTCGGGGGGGCGCCAAAGTTCGCAGGGGGGGCGCCAGGCCTCAGATGATTTGAGGCCAAATATCATCTTTAGACTTTTTTTTTTTTTTGACTTTTTTTTTTTTTTTTACATATTGTAAGGCAATACATGATTGTCACTAAAAGCCTTGTCTCTACATTACAATAACATATACAAAATAATTGATTAATTAATTTTAATAAAAATTCAAGTTAGTAGCTATTAAAGGCAGAAAAAGACAGAAATGTATAATTCTTTCTATAGAAATGTTTCTTCTGCCCGTAAAGTTTCCAAACCGGGCTTGTCTGGATAAGCGCATTTTTAAAAACAGTCATTGTCCACGCCGATTTCAGTTGGATTATTTGTCAGTTGCTCCAATCAGATCGGTCTCCTCCATTTTGTAGATATTTACGACTTTTGAATCCACATAAACACATCGGCAAAATCCGGCTTACTTTGAGCATGTGTTTTAAACAGTTTAATCCCTTTGTGAATTGTTTCCACTTGCGCCGTCCTTTAATTTCTTCATACAGCGGGAATCCAAATTAATTATCCTGAGTCCAATAACCATCAAAGTCACTCCAATAGTGCTCCTTAATTACGCTTTCATCCTCCTTTAACAAAATACTTCACATTCATCCAGTTTGTGACAGTAGGTGTAGCTTTTTTTGAGACTTATAAACTTTAATTACCGCTGTTGCCCCCCCCCCGTGTGTGTGTGTGTGTGTGTGTGTGTGTGTGTGTGTGTGTGTGTGTGTGTGTGTGTGTGTGTGTGTGTGTGTGTGTGTGTGTGTGTGTGTGTGTGTGTGTGGGGTCCAACAGGAGTCATTTGGGGGGGCTCTTGGGAAAAAAGTTTGGGAACCCCTGTTCTGGAAGAATCAATAAAGAGTAATGTTGTTTTAAATTGCAAGCCATATGTAGCCCTTATGTGAGCAGTTACAATCACAGCAAACAAAGAAAACACTTCCCCAAAGCAAAGCTGAACAAATGAAATCACTCAAACAGGTCAAATCCTGATGGACCAGCATGCAGTTGGGCGCAATTATCACCTGACATCTGTTTCTGCTGTTGAGTGGATCACATTTTAGGTAAAATAATGGGAAGAAATAGATGATAGCAGCATGCGCACAAAGGAGGCCAAGAAATATTTCTCACATCTGCTGTCAGTCTGTGTTTCAGACCACTTTTAAGAGCAAGGCTTCAGATTACTGCAGCGTTAGGACGTGGTGGACCTAAAGGCCTCCAAATATCCTCAACAACATTTTGAAAACTTCTTCCACAAGACCGTTAAAGGTCCTAATAAAATACATTTAATAACATTATAACAGCAGTCTTGACACACTCAAATAGGACAAAAAAGATCACTGCATGTGTTGACAATACTAACTAACTGGCAACAAAAAACACTCACAAATAAAAAAATATACTAATCTACAGAACAGAGCGAATAAAAGACTGACATGAAAAGAAGGAAGAACTGTTCAGTGTTAAATCATTTCACTGAGATTAAACTTGTGCCAGGGATGAAGGTTTAGAAATGTACGGATAACTTTTTTAGCCAGGTTCCAGGTCTCTGGGTTGCAGCACTAAAACAGAAATTGTTCCAAACCATATGACATGCCATTGTGCCCATGCGAAAATGTTTCCTTGCTGAAGCGCCAATTGCTTAACGTGTGTTGTTTGATGACATTGGCTGATCTCCTCATTGTTTAGGGTATCACAGACTCTACTGCATTGTGTTAAAAAGAAAGTATGGGTAAATAAAGTACTGATGACACACTGGCCGTTTCTCAATGTCGAGTAAACCTGCTGCAGAGCCATTATTTCAAGTATATTACGTAATCGAGTGGCACCGAAGGACTGTTTAAATGCATGTTAAGCCCAGCATTCAGCGCCACTCGATGCACTCGACATTGAGAAACGGCCACTATTTTGAGCACACTTGCAAGCATAATGCACATTTTAAAAAAAAGGCCTTAAAGTAAGCGGTTTTAATATTTTAGGTTGAAAAAATCTCTGTTTCATTTTTCGAAATGTTACATGCTCCCCCTTTTTGTTCTCTCTCTCCAAACTGCAAGTGCCCCTAAACTGCTCTGCTCAGGTTTTCCTGCTCTCCACTAATCACCAGTATAAAAGGAGGAGGAGAAGAAAATCTCTCTCTACAACTCTGTGTCCAGCACTCAGTTATCCTTAGTTTAGATTATCTATGTTAATATGGAGGATCTGGTAGTCCAGTTTCCGCTGCTTTATTTCTTAGTTTAGTTATAAAAAATTACTTTTTGTAAACTCTCACGGGTTCGATGTGCGAAATACAAGTTGTTGTTGAAAACCAGAGCAAAAATGTAGTTTTAATGCTGGAACACCGCAACAGTGTGTTTCTCCTGGATCACATTTTGCAATCAATCTCTCTTTATCAAACATTAAGTATACTTTATTGCTAAATGAAATTGGAGAGGAAACAATGAAGCTCCTTTCGATAGAACTTGATGATAGGTCCAAATTGTTCCATGACTGACTCTAAAGTGTCCATATAACGTTGTACTGTCCCCCTTTTTCTAATGTTTCGTCGTTGTGGCTTTGTGTATGTGCCGGTGCAGAGCTGAGGAAGGCCGAGGAGTGTACGAGCGAGGAGGCGTGGCAGGAAGAAGAGTCAAGCTCAGAGCTGGAGGAAGGAGAGGAGCACAGGCAGAACAGTGAGGCTGAGGAGGAGGAGGAGGAAGAGGAGGGAGAGCACACGCAGAACAACACCCACAACCACATGCAGGTACACCTGTGTGTGTGTGTGTGTGTGTGTGTGTGTGTGTGTGTGTGTGTGTGTGTGTGTGTGTGTGTGTGTGTGTGTTAGGGCTGTACCGAATACAATTTTTTTGGCTCTGGATATTCGGTAGTAATCAGCAGCGAATATTCGGCCCGCGTGTATTGCGGTTTATTCACGGCATTCATATTTTTTATTCTACAGTATTGTTGTTTTATAGTTATTTGTTAATGTCTACAACCCAATGTGTGTTCTTTGAAATTGAAAAGGATATTGCATTGTGTGTGTTACTTTCGTTGCAGTTGTATATGTCTTAAGTGTAATTTGGCTTGGCTTCCTATTTTGTATGGACATGCTTTTATTTATTTATTTTTTTTATTTTATTTTATTCTGCAGCAGAGACAAGGCTTGTACACTGAATTATTCGAGGCTAAAATAGCATACGGCCTATTAGGGAGTGTCTTTCAGTTCCTTGAGTTTATCAGTTAGCTGTCTCTCCAAAGTCTCCAGATGTCTTTCCTTTTCCTTAGCAGCTCTTCCAAGGCCATCGGACTTGGAGATGAAGCTTAGTTTTCCTTGTGACTCAGCTTTTTCTGCGTTATGATCAGCAGACTTCATGAGGACCCTTATGTCTTCCTCCATTCTCTTCTTTTTGGCTTTTATCTGTGTTATCTCCTCCATCATTCCTTTCCTCTTCTGTTTATTCTTCTCATCTTGCTTTAGACGTCTTTGGTCATCAAGATACATGTGATATTTCTGCCTGGCATATGCTGCAGAGTGGAGCAGCTCTTTTGTGTAGGCTATGTTGAGCAACCCTCCAACACTGTGCATGTGGTCATTAATGACCCGCTGAGCAATCAATGAATGCTCTTTGAGGTTCTCCACCATCACTTCCTTGTTAACTGAAAACCCTCTCTCAACGGATGCTTGACCATGTGAAAGGACCAGGACGAGTTTTACCACCTCCCATATATGATGACACTCTGCTTTGTTGGATAAATGCTCCTGGTAGAATTCATCCAATCTTCCACTTTGTGGGTTGAAGTCCCTGAAGGAATCTGACGCTGACATCAGGCTGTAGTCATAGAAGTGACCAAACTCCCTAATGATCTCATCGCAACATGTTTCTTCAATGCGGCCAGTTTCCACAAGGAGCCGCAGAACAGTAGTGAGTTTTCGTGTGCTTACGTCACCCTTTGTGCGTGACCTGGGCATTCAAATGAGAGTGATTATAGATGACAGTATGCCAGGAGGTTGCCGTTTTAACGAGCGTTGGCTATCCGAAGAAAAATACAAGCCATGGCTAAAATGAGTATCAACCCAACGAATAGCCTCCTGCAAAGTTTGCCACAAAGAATTTCAATTATTCACGTTGGGAGAGTCTGCGCTGACAAAAAACACTTGCAGGTCGCGCGCATAGCGCGGGAAGGCCGGGAGCGGAGCTGTTTGATGTTGCGATTTGATGTTGTAGAAGCGAAGCAATTATTTTTATTTTAATCTAAAAAGCGAACTCAGTCAGACAGCAATTTATTGTAAAAGTAAAGCATTTACAATTTCAAGCACTTTATCTCAAATCCAAGCACCATTCCCAAAATTCCAGCACTTTTCAAACCTTGAAAACACCACGTAACATTTCAAGCATTTTCAAGGATTTCTAGCACCCGTGGGAAACCTGATCAGTGATTATGTGTTACAATGGCGTTAGCAACCAGAAAATGACACCAGTAATGACAAACAGATGAGAATGCTGCATGGTGTTTCTAGCAATCCAGCTATCTGGGTCAGTGTTATAGTGATAATATTATAAGGTGAATTTAGCGATCACAACGAAAACAACCAAGACACATATTGAGCCCAGAAAATTAATGTTATTAGGGCCTGTAAATATAATAAGCCTATGGGTAAAATGGACAACATTGTAACTAAGGAGATTTAAACTATACAGCGATTCTGCACTGCGGTCACTCAGCCGTCTCTCGAGTTTGTCTTTTCAAATCAGCTGCTCTTCATTTTCTTTCCTGCTATATTCAATGAGTGATACAAATATTTTTTACCACAAGTTCTTAATAAAACGGACTCTGTTGGACTCGGTACTAGTTGACTGCTACCAGAAATAAAAGTAAGTACTTTTACTATGTACTTTGTGAGTAATCTTCTATCAGAGTCCCCTCCATAGTACATAATGCATGTTTTCTGCTATCTTTGATGAGTGATACAAATAAAATGTTACCATTAGCTAGTGCGCATGCGCGGGTGAGAGTGATAAACCGCGCTATGCGGGTACAGGGACATTATGGCAGGCGTAACAGGGTTAAGAAACAATTAATGCCAAGTGTGAAGACTTCACTTGATGTTTTTCACTGTTCGGGTAAAAACATCATGGCGGAGCACGCGCTGCATGCGCACTAGCTGCCTCCTTTACTGGAGTTACAACCTGGGCAGCGAGTGGGGACACTGTACTGACAACATTACGTGGCTGTGTGGGTTTGTGGAAAGCAGAGACACTCAAACTGGAATACAATGTATCACTTTAATTGGAAAAAGATGATGACAACAAAAGGATCTTTGATCACAATTGATCACAATCAAAAGGAAAAGGAGGAGGCAGGATTTGCCCTCGCGTCCTGGCCGGAGAATTCCCCTCTCCCTGCCGAGACGCTTCCTCCCGCCGCCAGTCAACTCCTGGAGGATGGAGCTCCCCACCCGGTACCCCTCCGCTGCGGTGGCACTGGAGTGCGGACCGGAGGAGGAGCCCGACGGATTCTGTCTTGTTTTTCCCAGTGGTGCGCGCCTCTGCCCCGCAATGGAAAGCCGGTCAGAAACAGGGAGATGGAGCGGTACTCTCGCGGGACAGCAGAGTGGGTATACACCGGGCTCCGCCCCCTGTACCCATAGAGTCCAGTAGAGGGAGCCTGTGAGAGATATAACGTAGGGTTACATATGGTAACCCATGTTATATTAGCACAGCGGAGCCCTCTACTTATGGAGCACTGCTGCCCTATGCTGCTCAGCTGAAGAGAAAGTAAAGGGATAGCAGTGAGCGGGCGAGGTCGCCTTCTATGCGGTGGATGCGCGTGCATTCAGGTAGGCCCGCCCAGGGGCCGGCTACGGGTAGGGAAGTCTCAGTGAAATAATGCGTGCATAGATAGGATATGGGGGAGTACCCATAGTGTCCAGTAGAGGGCTCTGATGTGCTAATATAACATGGGTTACCATACGTAACCCTACGTTATGGGGTGCAGAGGTGATGTTATCTCTGAGAGTCCTCCACATTTCGGGTCTGGAGAACAGGGGGGCCAACCTCATGTCCAGGGGCGGACCCCTGCCAGACGAGTGGACGCTTCACCCATGGTGAAGCGGATCTGGGCCCGGTTTGGGACAGCAGAGGTGGATCTGTTCGCCATCCGGCGCAACACTCACTGCACACTGTGGTTCTCCATGGCTCTGAGCGACGACCCTCCTTTGGTGGTGGACGCGTTTGCACACGAGCCATGGCCAAAGAAGCTGCTTAATGCCTTTCCACCGTTATGTCTCATTCTCCCTCTCCTGGGGAGAGTGAGGCGAGAACGTCTGTCAATCATCCCAGTAGCGCCGGATCAAGCAGGGGCGCCGTGGTACTCAGAGATGACACAGATGAAGGTGGGCCAGCCCTGGGCGCTTCCCCAAGTTTGGGGGGTGATCTCCCAGGAGGCAGGAGCAATCGGGGCTTTACCCACGCTGGGCCACCCTCTCCAGGCTTGGCTCCTGAGGGGGAGAGGCTGACACGGGAGAGATTGTCTGATAGTGTGATTCAGTCTATCCAGGCAGCTAGAGCGGGATCCACCACAGCCTGTTACAGGCCAAAGTGGCTGGGATTCCGGCGATGGTGTGAGGAGCCCCTATCTTGTAAATTGGGATCTATTTTGTCGTACTTACAGTTGTTGGTGATCAGAGGGCTTGCTCATTCCACAGTGAAGGTGTATGCAGCAACCATCTCGTCCTGCCATGAGGGATTTGGCGGCAGGTCAGTTTTTGCCCAGCCGCTGATGTCGCGGTTTTTGCGTGGGGTCAGTAGTACGCGCCTCTGCCCCGCAGTGGGACTTGCCGCTGGTGCTCGAGGCTCTGGTCACAAGACCATTTGAGCCTCTGGAGCTCTCCTCCATGAAAGCACTGTCATTGAAGACAGCATTGCTACTTGCCTTAACGTCAGCCAAAAGATTGTCTGAGTTAACCACTTTATCAGTGCACCCGAGTTGTTTAAACATACGGGGTGACCAAAGCAGGGCGACACTCAGACCAAACCCCTCCTTTGTGCCTAAGAGCCTAAGGAGTACATTCAGGTCGAGGGCTATTCAGTTGGGGGGTTTTAATCTCCCCCCCATGGTGGGGCGAAGGAGGCTAAATTGCACCTCCTCTGCCCGGTGCGTGCGCTGGCATGTTATGTAGAGCGCACGGCTGTCCTTAGACACACAGAACAGCTGTTTGTGTGTTTCGGCGGTGGGGTAACTGGAAAAGCTTTGTCCAAGAAACGCCTGGCAGGCTGGCTGAGATTCCCAGTCGATCGCGAGATGTGTCTAAAAATAGAACACCAATATTATGTTTTATCGTTAATGTCCTATAACATAATCTTCCTGTGCCAGAATAATGCACTTGAACGCATCAAAGCTTTGTGATTGGCCGGCGTGACCACATGTGTCGGGGCGTGGCTGGTGGGCAGTGGAAACTATTTCGCTGACGTTGTCCGTGTCAACAGGAGTGACAGTCCGCACACACACAAGACCGCAATTATGACAGAAGCAAAAAAGCCCAAAATATATAATTTTCACTCCGAGTGGGAGGATGATTATTTTTGTATCTATTCCAATTCAAAGTCCATCTGTCTCATCTGCAATGCGAGCGTGGCTTTATAGAAGAAGGGTAATTTAGGAGCGGCATTTCAAAACAGTGCACAAACGCTACGAGACGGAATTCCCTCCTAATTCTGCCCTACGCTCCCAAAAGGGGAGGGGCCTGAAAGGACAGCTAAATGC